CGAACCAGTCCTGTTTGGTCACACAACTATCAACTATCTGACAGCTGGCAAACTGTTCGTCAACTGATGAATGTGAATGCCGACGCCATATTTCTATTAAAGAATATTTTGTATGACTGATTGTTCGGTTCGACGCCAGGACTGTGACGAGACGTGACTGATGTGTCTGAATCAACCTTAACACAGACCCCCAGAGAGACATTTAAATAGTTGTACCTACCAATCTGTATCCAACATTCAAATAAAATTATCGGAGAAAGTGTTAAATTTCGAATTATTAATTTGTTTACTTAAATGTTTTTACTCATTGATCGAAATACTGATTATTTTTTACCTCTAATATAGTATTTTAGAAAAATTTACCTTCACCTTTTTTCAAAATTAAGACTGGCAAAATAAAATATTTTTTTCAGTTACGAAAATAAAAATTTTTCTTTGGTAGATTTACAAGTTTTTTTATTAACCATGCCAAGTTCGTCATTGAACACTTAATAATAATATATTATACAGTAAGGTCCTAAAGTAACGGATAAATGTAATTGCTACGTAATTATAAAGTATATGAAAAGTTCAGTATACTAAACCAGGTCGACTTTTACACACAAAAATATACACATACAATATACAAATCATCAGTAAATATCTATCACCGTCCTAATATATATAATTAACACAAACACCAATATATTTTTTTTCACACTTTATTTGCATTAATACCTACCTTAAAAGATTTAGATGTAGCAACTAACTTCATGCTGTGAATATGCGCGTACTTCATACTGTGCATTTTATAAATGTTCACTCTCATCAATTTTTCCCAATCGCGACTAAAAAAGTATAACTTCAAAAATAGTTTTTATTTACTTACATGTCACATGCGATGCCACAAAAAGTTACCCATTGGTTTTTTTACTATTATAAATTAAATGGTATACTAGCCACATCGGAATTCACATTCATTTCGGAGTTAGAGTTTTTCTTCTTTCAGTTATTCCAACTCATCGTCATTATCGTTCCCTTCATCACTCTCAGCCAAATTAATAATAATTTTCTCTAAGGCCGGTACATTTTTTATGTAATATTTTTCAATCTTCTTTACATGATCTATTACAAAATTATAGTTTATTCGTCTTCCGGGTTTGGACCGTGTCATTTGTGAGTAACCCAAAAGTGGGTTCATCTCGACGTTTCGCTACAATTGTATGTAGCTTCTTCAGGAGAACAAAGAAAAAGAAATCAAAAGACAGGAAGGTGGGTAGTTAGCAACGGTAACTCAGTTACTCAACGCAACCAGAGCCGAATACTAACTTCACTAGTTCACTTAGGATTCACTCCCCGAGTAATCCTCATGATTCACTCCCCGCCTCTCGACGCGTTAGTGTTCTGAGCTGTTGGACGTGAATCCCTGTCCTGGCATTTGGTTTTCACCTCTGGCTGCGTTAAGTAGTTGAGTTACTGTGACCAAATGTCCATCTTGGTAGTTAGTATTCGCCTCTGATTGCGTTGAGTAACTGAGTTACCGTTGCTAACTACCCATCTTCCTGTCTTTTGATTTCTTTTTCTTTGTTCTCCTAAAGAAGCTACATACAATTGTAGCGAAACGTCGAGATGAACCCACTTTTGGGTCACTCACAAATGACACGGTCCAAACCCGGAAGACGAATAAACTATAATTCTGACTCTGGTCGTGGAAGCCTACGACTTCATATGATCTATTACATTTTGCCAGTTTTAATTACTGATATTTTTGAACTCTGTTTTGATTAGTTCAACAACACTTTGGGTATCCTTTGGAGATATGTTGTTCCTCCGGATATGGTTTTTTAACTGAGTCCATCGCCATTCTATGGTATTCAACACACAGTAATATGGAGGTAATCCTAAAACCATATGTCCATTGTTAGTGTCTAATTTATCTACAATATGTTCCTTAGTTACGACATTTGTATGAAGAACCTGGATTAGTTGATCTTTCGTGTAATGATCCTTAAAATATAGGTCTTCGGCTATTAAACATTCTTGAATTTCATGCATCTGGAGTGATATGATGTATTGCCCATAACAATCACGCTATTTTCTTTTAAATTTGGGAGTAATGTATTTTCAAACCACGATTCAAAAAGCGTCTTGGTGGTAGTCTAAAGACTGTCTGTAATACTTTTGAAACTCAACAATAACGCTTCGTTCACCCATCTATGTTGTCCTCCGCAATGTAATATGGAAATTCGCTTGCCTCTAGAATAGGGTAGGTACATCTATTTGGCATTTTCTTGTACCGTTTGTTCAGTCTATATCTATCGTTTCGTGAGAATAAAACCAAGTCTTGTGCAGATAATAAATTTCTCGACACTCACTGCGGTATTGTGAATTTTTTTCGATATATCCATCCTCCATTTTATTAGGCGGCTACTTTCCATTATGGTTTGTTTCTTATTAACAGTTTTAACAATCGTTAACAATATGTTTTTCTTTTAATTTTGCCATGATATTATTTTGGTTAGGCATAACTTAAGCTGCATACATAATATACATATATTGTCTCACTAATAGGTTCCAAGAGGTGAGGTTGAATTATTTAAGAGCTTCCCAAATCCTTTCTTGTTGTTGTACTTTTCGAACCTGTCTTTATTAAATGATACACTGTTGCACAAGCAATTTTTGTTAAATCCGCCCTTTGCTTTACAGCTTAATTTTTGGTAATTTTTTTAGAAAATCCATCAAATACATCTAACACCATATTTTGCTCAGCTACACACAAATTCTTCGTTTGCTGAGTACTTGGCCCCGCACTTTCATCTTCATCTTCTAAATTATCCGTAGGTTCACTGTCGTCAGGTAAACGTATATCACTTTCCCATGGCCGCTACATATTTTTTTTTGATAAATACTTAATATATCACAACACTTTTTTTCGACAAACTCTGGCTGATAGAACCACAAAATAAACTGCTTAAAAATGGCTAATTCAAAGATATATTCAAACAAAGACATATTTTTGATAACATTTCACAAAAATATTTAATGAAGATGATTTGGAATAAGTTTTACTTCTTTTTGTGTATATCAATAATAATTAGTCTTTATTGACGAACCCACAAAACAAAATGTCTACTTATTTTCGTAACCAAAAAATATTTTATTTTAGCCAGTACCAAGTTTAGAAAAAAGATGAACAAAAGTATTTTTTTAATAGTATATTGCGAGATTGTTTACTGCTAAAAACCACTGTTCCGATCAATTTGTAAAAACATTTAAATAAACTAATAATTCAAAATTCAACACTGCTCCGGTAATTTTACTTGAATATTGGATAAAGGTTAGTACAACTCTGTAATGTCTCTCTAGGAGTTTGAGTTACAATAGGTATCAATAGATGATTATCAGCAGGTTATTCTTTAAAATTTCGCATAGATCTTATCCGTCACTGTATAGTCCTACTAGAGATCTAAGAGAGTTATTAATATTTATTATCGATAAGTTTCTACCGCAAGGCAGCGGGGGATCGCCTCTGGACAGGATTGTACTTTTATTTTCGAATTGCATTACTTATTTGATTGTTAGGTGTGTCTAAAAGCCAGTCTTTATAATTGTTTACTAAAGTTATAATAGTTGCAAAGATATTTACGTACACTACATTCACATATTTACAAAATTTTATTATTTCTAAATAGGGTACAAGAAGAACAGAGGCAAAAATATTTTAGAAAATTATATTCAAAATTGAGGTGTGTTTAAAAGCTGGTTTTATACCGTTATTAACTGAATTGAAAAATATGTACATAAATTACGTATGTAATTTACATTTGAAAAAATTACATGGATATTTCAAGTCATTTTGGGTTTCTGTCGTTATCTAGATCTAAAATAATTATTTCTTTGAGCAACCTATCTGTATTTATATAAGATTTTTCCATCTTTAGAACATGGGCAACACTATTTTTCCAGCTGTCATTGGCTATTTTCTCCATTTCTAATTTAATAAAATGAACCACAGATGAATTTAGGGTAAGCGAAACATAACTTCTCCATATCGATGCTTTTAGCTCATGCCATATGTGTTGAATCGGATTGAACATACAATAGTAAGAAGGAAGTCTTAATACTGCATAACCCATTTCTTTCGCCAAACTGTCGCCATAATATTGTTTTATGATGGAAAATGATGTTAAAGTTTCCAGTATTTATTTTTTGAACAATTATCTTCATAATATAGATCATTTTCCAGTATATATCTTATAAAATTCTTATATAATTCTTGAATTCTAAGTTTGGTGTCATAAGAAGATGGAACTTTATTAGGTCTACGACTGTGGTAGCTGGCAATCGACATAGGAATCCTTAAAGTTTTTGCTTGACAAGGCTAAAGCATTAGGTATAAAACCATTTTTTTTCTGCATGGATTATTGTAATACGTTTTCCTTTATTTGATGAAGCTTTTGTTGTACAGCGACAAGAAGAATCTGACCAACCACATTTTGGAATGACATGTATGTCGAACCACGTCCCATCCAGATAAACAATTTCCCTTCCACTTTCTCTGTATTTATGAATTTGATTTAAAAATTCCGTTCTCCATATTTGTAGACAAGCAGATTCCATAATCAGTTGGTGTTTATCGATCGTTTTTACTTTAAATCCGTTTTTTAGAAGATATTGCCTTACTGTCTCATTGCAGCACTTAATTCATGTGTTAACTTAAAAAAATTATGACAATTTCGTTAGATATTTATTTGACTTTGTTCATAAAGGAAGAAGATTTGTTTATAAAACAATATTATTTAAAAATATTTCGTCCGTGGGAAGGAGCCTAGTACTTTTCGTGCAGTTATTGATAATAAGAATGCCGAAAGAATAGTCGTCAGTGTTAACAAACCCATAAAGCTCAGTGTTTTGCGAGTTGACACAAAAAAGTGATATTTCACGTTTACACTACCCTCCTTGAACGGGGACTTTCCAAATTTAATGCAGTGAACGAAGCGGCAGCCTTAACACGAAGACCAATGAACACAGTGTTGTCCATAACAAAACAACCAGTAGTAAGTAGAAGAAAAAAAAAGACGCTGATATGTATAGGAAAGTAGACCAGAGTGATGTGGAGATCATTAGAAGCAAAATTTATAACATGTATGAAGAAGATGATCCCCACGTTAAAATTCATCATCCAAAAATTGCAGAAAGAGGACACAGGAATCAAGTGCTGCAGAGAGACAGTAAGGTAATGTCTTATAAAAAACGGCTTTAAAATAAGAACGATCGATAAACGCCAATTATGGAATCTGCTCGTCTACAAATATGGAGGACGGAATTTTTAATTCAAATTCATAAATACAGAGAAAGTGGAAAAGAAATTGTTTATTTGAATGAGACGTGTTTTGACACCCATGAGGTTCCAAAATATGATTGAGCAGATTTGTACAGCTGGTCGCTATACAACAAAAGCTCCATCAAATAAAGGAAAACATTTTACAATAATCCATGCAGGAATAAAAAATGGTCTTATACCTAATTCTTTAGCCTTATCATGCAATAACATTAAGGACTCCCGTGTCGACTATCATGATGACACCACGCCAGAATTATTTGAAAACTGGTTTTCAATGAAGTTATTGCCAAATATACCACCAAACAGTGTAATTGTGATGGAAAATGCCAGCTACCATAATCGTAGGCTGAATAAAGTTCCATGTTCTTTTTTTTTTTTGAAGTGTACTTACATTAAAATCTTATCAGTAAGAGCAATTATCAATTTGTTTCTAACTTAAATTACTAATGAAAACTTAAAATTAGGTGTCTTCTCACTAGTATCTTTCCTGTTATTTCTAATAACTAGCATTAAATTTAGCATGCATACTCGCACAACACTTTGCTCTGCTTTTCACTTACTCACAATACCAGTTCAAAAGGCTTTGTTCTTTTGAGCCTTCTCTCTAGGTTCGTATTGTCGAGGAGCTGGATAGCCTCGACGTTTACATAATGATGTAGTCGTTGTTCATGACTCCCTCCAAATTTCTTAATTATCTGATTGACATCTTCCATCTTGAGGTCCCGGTGAAGATCGTTGTTCCTAACGTACCAAGGCGCATCTACGATGTTCCTTAGCATTTTATTCTGCAATACCTGGATTACTTTGATGTTACTATGCTTGGCACAGCCCCAGAGTTGGTAACCATAGGTCCATACTGGCCTTAGTATTTGTTTATAGATTAGGAGTTTATTATTTATGGATAGAGAGGAATACCTTCCCATCAACCAATACATTTTCTTGTAGCGGATGCCTAGTTCTTCTCTTTTCTTCTTCACGTGACTTTCCAGCGAAGTTTCGCATCAAGAATGATCCCCAAGTACTTTGCTGATGTTGCAATAGGCATTTGGACATTATTTATTTTAATTGGAATAGTATTAATTCTCTTATTGGTAAAATTTATATGAACTGATTTATTCTCATTCAGCTTAATTTTCCATTTTTTTGGCCATTCATGAATTTTATTTATTGAATTTTGTAGTTTTTCTGTAGCTTCTTCGACAGTGTCACTTACTGCTAAGACAGCAGTGTCATCTTCAAAGGTAGCTATGGTGTCGTCTTCTAGTTCAGGTATGTCACACGTGTATATTAGGTATAGGACTGGACCCAATATACTCCCTTGTGGAACACCTGCTTCAATATCCTTGAGATCAGTGTATGCATCTTCTTGTTTAACTCTAAAATGTCTGTTCACTAGATATGATTTTAATATATTTGAATATTGTTTAGACATGAATGATTTAAGTTTATGTATCAAACCGTTATACCAGACTTTATCAAACGCCTGTGCCACATCTAGGAAGGTTGCAGAACAGACTTTTCTTTTCTGTAATGATCTTTTAATTATAGCAGTTATTCTATGCACCTGGTCAATTGTCGAATGCTTATTTCTAAATCCAAATTGATGATCTGGAATTATTTTCTTTTCTTTAATTATTGGTAGGATTCTTCGCAGGAGGAGTTTTTCAAACACCTTGGACATTACAGGTAGGAGTGATATTAGTCTATATGATGTCACCTTATTGGGGGGTTTCCCAGGCTTTGGTGTCATGATCACCTCAGCTATCTTCCATAAATATGGAACATATTGTAGTCTAAAGGCAGCATTTATTAAATTTGTTAATTTTACGATAGCTTTTACTGTGCTACTTAGAATGACACCAAACTTAGAATCAAGGAATATATTCTGGAAAATGATATACAATATGAAGATAATTATTCTAAAAAACAATTACTTAAAACTTTAAAATTATTTTCTTCCGGAAAACAATATTATTGCGCCAGTTTGGCGGAAGAAATGGGTCATACAGTATTACTTTCTCCTTACTATTTCATATTCAATCCTATTGAACACATATGGCATGAGCTAAAAGCATCGGTAAGGAGAAGTTATGTTTCGCTTACCCTAAATTAATCTATGGTTCGTCTAATTAAATTCGAAATGGAGGGAATAGCCAGTAACAGCTGGAAAATAGTGTTGCCCATGTTCTAAAGATGGAAAGAACTTATATAAATACAGATAGGTTGCTCAAAGAAACAATTATAGATCTAGATAAAGACAGTGATAGTGAATCTGACTTGTCCAATTTTTTTTTATTTAAATTACGTACGTAATTTATGTAGATATTTTTAAATTTAGTTGATACCGGTATAAAACCAGCTTTTAGGCACACCTCAATTTTAAAAATAATTTTCTAAAATATTTTTGCCTCTGTTCTTTTTGTACTCTATTTAGAAATAATAAAGTTTTGTAAATATGTGAATGTAGTGTATGTAAATATTTTTGCAAATATTATAACTTTAGTAGACAATGATAAAGACCGGCTTTTAAGCACACCTACCAATCGAATAAGTAATGTCAATCGAAAATAAAAAAAAACTATCCTGTCCATAGGCGATCCCCCGCTACCTTGCGGTAGACACTTATCGATAATAAATATTAATGACTCTTCTAGATCTCTGGTAGGATTTTACATTAGGCGGTGCTGTAGACTAGCGCGAAGCTTTATACTATGTTTGATGTATTTTTTAAATCTAAATAATATTTTTAAAATGGAATACAGTAATTGTATTATTTATTTAATATTTTTATCGATTTGAATGAAATTGAAAAAGTTTACATATGGAATAACGGACACTCCTCGTCACGTAAATGGACTCTTCCAGTTTAATTGTGACTACTACTACTTATTAATTACTGTGACTACTATTTCGTAAAAAGCTATATGTAATAAGTGTTGATTAAGAAATCTCCCCCAAAGTATAAATATAAAATTTCATTAAAATGTTTATTAATTAAATCTTGCCTAAGTAGTTTCGCTTCCTAGAGCATTTTAGGGGCATTTCGTCAAACTTGGCCTATCCAACAATCTGTTGAGAATGTCATAAACATAAAATTGTACATTATACTACACAATACAAGGACAAACAGTTTAATTAAAAAAAAGGCAAAACTACATATTGGTTGGCATCAGGAGAGAGAATTTCACTCTCCTATTTTTTAATCGATTAAGTTCCATAAATTCTAATAAAGGTGTGCTTTTGGCTTTTGTTGTTCTTAAGTAAATATATTAAGAAAAACAAAGGCCAAAAAAAGCATATTTACAGTGGGGTATACATGTGGTTACTACCCAAAAACATCGGTCAAACTGGTAAAACCTCACATAAATATAAACTTTTACATAGTAAAATATCCTTATAAGAAAGACTGTCAAAGAACTGTCAAATCAGTTGTAGTGATAATTTTTCGACTGTTCTAACAACCATTCAAATTTCGTCATTTTGTGTCATGTGGAACAATTTCACCCAATCATGTCAACATTAGACTGATAATTGCATTCAGTGCAATTTTCAATCCCTATGACAACACGATCGAGTTTGACAACTTCATCCAAATAAATTTCAAAATGTCTGTCACGTTTCGGCAATGAGAATGTTCAAAGTATAAATGCGCTAATCAAAGAAAAAATTCACAGAAATAGATAACAAATCACTCGATTAGATCAAGTGCTGTTAGCGAATTAGCAAAAAGTGGTGTAGAAGAACAACAATTGCTAAAAATTACTGGTCATGGCATTCAGAATTCTATAAAACCATACTTGAATCTCGATCAAGAACACCACAACAAGATTATAAATATTATGCGTGGTAATAGATCTTCTATAGTAGAGAACAGCAACGAATCTAATGTTACCTTAAATTTTAATAATTGTACTTTCACTAACTGTACTTTTAATAAATAAATGTTTCGTTATGATTTTTTTTTTCGAAAAATTATCCGCCGAATATCACTCGGACATTGATGAATGCCTCATAATTTCATGACAAATTTCTCAAGCTCGTTGCTTGGTAATAGCACTCAGCCTTCGGCTTCGTGCTGTTACCAAGGAACGAGCTTTCGATTGTCATGAAATTATCTCGTCTGTTATCAATGTCCTAGGGATATTACTACTGATAATAAATTTTTATTTATTTAATATATTTTATGTGTAAAAACACAATCTTTCAGTGCTTTTGGTATTTTGATCCTATAGTTTTAGTATAATCATTTTTTTGTTTATAAACATTTTAAATATTAATTGAAAATTATTTGTTGCAGATGGCATTAGTGAAACCTTTCTCTATGACTCAGTTCGTGACAAACTACGAGACCCAGAAAAAGAAGTCCGCCAGCACGCTCTCAGGGTACTTATGGACCTAATAAAAGTAACTCAACCTTCAAATCTAGATATCCGGATGCAAGACTTAGTCCCTGAAATTCTAAAAATATTGAGTCACTCTGCTCCGTCCTTAAGAAAAAGTGCTTTAGATTCTCTTAAAAAATATTTAAAACTTAGTAAAAATTATAACTACCTCATGAGAGAGTTGCTTAACTCTCCTGACCATTTGACCAATGCAGCTCCTTTTTTAATAAATCGTGAAACAGATGATTTGACAGTGATACTGGTAATAGAACAATTATGGAAGGAACTAGAAGATCCTACCAGCAATCAAGAGATTCCTGCAAAGTCTTTAGCTAGATTAAGGTAAGTTGAAAACCTTAAGACCCTACAGGATTTGGCCGAATGTTTTTTATTTGGTTTATGTTTAAACTTTTTTTAGGATATAGTTTTTGATGGTTATATATCTCTCATATTACATATCTCGTATTTATTATCTTTTCTTATCTTTTCAAAAAATAATTGATTTTTTTTATTTGACAAACCAAGCTTCTACATTTTTCTGGATTTTCTATAGAATATTTGTAATACTAAATTGTTGTTTATAATCAAAATTGTTTACTTTGTTACTTTAGTACTTGGCAGTTAGACTTTTGTACTAAACCCTGTTCTTTCAACAAATTTCACCAAGTAGCTCTGTGCTCTAAATACATAGAACCAAGCAATTTCCTTATAAAAAAGGTTTATGGATTTCTGAATTAATGAATAATAACTCATTTTCGGCGAAGATAACAACAAAACTAACTAGTATCTGTCAGTAATTTTTCGCGTTTCACAAACCTTTTTTTAATTATTTTTTTCATTGCAGACACTGCGTGTTTAGTAATGTTTTAACTTAATCATTAAAGGCAAATAAAGGCTGATGGTATAATAAGTCAATATACGAATTATTAATAATTGAAATTACATTGAACCTACAATGAACGAGAGACATTGAAAAAGTAATATTCGTTGTTGTAACTTAATATGTAAATACGAAGACGATATTAGAATAGAATCAATAATAATTAGTCATTGTAGATATAAAGTATTTAGCAAGTTCGTATAGGTCGACGTATCAAAGTATTGTTTATATGTTCCGGCTGATAATGTAAACAGTCCTTCATTGGTACAGAGATAAAAAATATAGTTAATAAGTATTGTGTTACATGGAAGTAGTGACAAATAGTTAATAAATCCTCTAACATCTCGTCTATAGCAATATACGACATTCATATAATTGACTTGTTTAAATACCTGTACACCATAAGTATACCCAAAACACACTATATATGCACAGATGTGTTGTATACCCAATTTCAGCTCTTCTTCTTTATGTACAATGTTCTTTCAGAACGTTGTTTACCATCATAGCTATCTTAATTTTATTCATTGCCACCCTAAATAGCATGCTTGTATTAACACCATACCAATCTCGCAAGTTCTTCAACCATGAGGTTCTTCTTCGTCCTGGACTGCGTTTGCCTGCTATTTTTCCTTGCATAATATTTTGTAGGAACCTATATTTGGGACCTCTCATTTCATGTCCGAAATACTCCGGCTTTCTCTGTTTGATGCTTTTTATGATCTCAGTAGTCTTGCTGAGACGTTCTAGTATTGTGGAGTTTCCAATCTTCACCACCCAGGAAACTTTTAAAATTCTTTTATAGCACCACATTTCGAAAGCCTCAAGGAGATTTAGATCGATTTTATTCACAGTCCAGGACTCGAAACCATAAAGTAAGACCGAGAACAGGTAGCAGCGAAGTAGACGGATCCTCAATGCCAATTTTAAGTCTCTGTTACATAACACCTTGGGCATCCTGCTAAAAGCAGCGGTAGCCTGCTCTATATTAGATCTAATTTCGCCGTGACTTTCTGCGTTACAATTGAATTGCTTGTCAAGGTCAAGATTTTATCAACTTGCTCAAGTTTGGTATTATTTACATATATACGGTTTTACATGCTGTTGTTTACTTATTACGAGCATTTTGGTTTTTCGTATGTTCAGATCCAGACCTGCGTCTCTACCATTCTTAACGAGTCATCAAGTACAAGTACAAGTTCATAACGAGTGTCAGGTAGTGTTTCCAGATCTTGAAGCAAAGAGTACTGTATCGTCCGCATATCGCAAATTATTGATGACTTCGCCGTTCACAAGTATTCCTTTTTATTTTTCAGAAAGTGCTTTCCTGAAAATTCTTTCAGAGTAAACGTTAAAAAGCAGGGGCGACAAGAGGAATCCCTACCGTACTCCTCTTTTAATATTGAGAGCCTGTGATTCCACACCATCTACTAAAACTGATGTTGTTTGATTCCAATATAAATTTGCAATTATTCTGACGTCCAACCCAATGTCTTTTAGAGCTTCGATCAATATAGAATACTTACCACGAGCAAATGCCTTTTGGAAGTCAATAAAACAACAGTATATGTCTACAGATATATCACGACATCTTTGAGCAAGTACGTTTATTCCAAACAGTGCCTCTGTCGTTCCAAACCCGTTACGGAAACCAAAGTGAGTGTCATTTCAGCTCTGACTTTACTTATTTTCAATGAAATAAGTTTCACTTTTTATTTATATTATTCTTCTGTGAGGTCACCTCAAAAACCTTTACCCAATTTATTGTCTATTTGTCCATTTCTGATAAAATATCTAACTTGTAACCTCTGTTCTAACTTGTATTATCTTTTTTAATGACATTTGAGGTAGTACTCATTTCTGAAGTATTTGCTAATAATTATTAAGGTTTATTAGTATGTTAAAATAATTGATTATTACGAGTATTTTTATTTTTAAGGTATAATCTTGGAGATGATAGATTCAAACACCTAATAGGCCTGCTAAGATATCGAAAACTACAAGAAATTTGTGAAATTTACGGTCTTCCAATGGACTACAGTGACGGGGAAGCTGCCGATAACGAGTTATGGAGCAGTGAAGAAATTATCGAGGATAGGGTTATCTTAGAAACAGAAATAACTTTAAAAACTGGTCCTGCAATCACTATGAAAATACATGAAGAAAGCAGACCTAGCAGTTCTATAAGCAATTCGGCAGAAATCGAAGAAAATTCTATTGGTGTTATTAAAATCCTCCCAGATGATAGCGAAAGTGATTATGAAGAAGCGAGAAAAACACCAAAAAACTCCAAGAAAAGTACGTTTCGGAGGAGAATCTGTAAAATTGCGGACTCCTGAGAGTGATAGTAGTAATCAAGATGAACCAAAAAATGCTTTACTAATAACTGTTACAGATGCAGTTACTATAACGACCAGAAAAAGTCTCATTCCTATTAGAATAACCTCTTTGCCCTCTACACCACTAAGAAAATCTAAAAAGGTTACTAAACAAAGGCTGCATAGATCAGCGCCAAATTTAAGTCGAAATTATGGCAATACGAAGATACCATTTAAGCGAGATTCTAACATCAAACAAAAATTCAAAATAAGTGTCATGAATGAAACAAGTCAAAACCAAGATAGAACCAAAGAAAATGGTAAGTTTTTAATAAATACATATATTTTTTGTATAAGAAACGGGTCCTAAATGATACTTGTCTATACACATTCATTTCATTCATTTGAAATTTATGTTTAATTACTTTAGTTCACTCGACTTTCTATTTAATTATTAAAACATTTTAGGATGTCTTATTTTAGGCAAGAAATAGTAATAATATTTCTACAGAAAGTGTTTTGTTACTGTGCGTTCGAGTATATTGAAGACATTCTTCACTAACAGTTTATGGAAAAGCTGCGTGTGAGCCGCTTATCAGGGTTGAAAGTATCAAGCAAAATATTTATATATCTTATAGTTTTATCGCTTTAATAACGAAAAGCCAGTTTTAGCCCGTTTTTAAAGCTATCTTATGCCAAGTTTTTATATTTGGTTGAGTTTAAGTCCTACATGCAACTTTCTAATTTCTGAAAAAAAAAAGACAGAGTAGAGTGTGATAATTACAGAGACATTACTCTTCTATAAAAAAAAAACAAAATACAGTGTTGAACTTACGGTGTTCAGCGATGCCACTTTTGTCGGCACAGTGGTAGGTGTATGGTAGTTTGGCGATAGCTTGACAATAATTTAACTGAGTTAAATAATGGAGTAAACAAAAAATTAATTCTATAAAAAATGCCTATATACTGTTATGCTATTACTTTTGTAATTGATTAATTGAGCAAATCAAATACATAACTTAATTGTTCTCAGGCTGAAAAATCTACCTATGTTGTGTGGGTCCAAAGATTTCCTAGTTGTCCTTTATCGGGATAGAGAAAAAGGATAATAATAAAAATAGTATGTTACAAAAAATTGGTATTCTTTATTTTATTTATAAAAGAATAAAACAATGACTAAATTTTGCCGCTATCTTATAAATCAGCGTAAATGAATACAATAAAATTTACACAAAAAGAAAATTTTAAGTCTTCTTTAAGACAAAACTAATTTAAAGCCAATTTCAATGAATATCTTTAAAACTTTTTATCTTTCTGATTTTTCAATATTTACTTTATTGCAAAAATCAGAAGTCTTCTCTTGAGTTAAAATGGAAACGGCAATTCATTCACAGTTACAAGATTTTCAATTCTGAACAGAAAATCACTGACCTTTCCTTCGTAGATTCGCCTCGGTTTTCTTCTTTTCGTATCTGTAATCCTCCTTCAGTGACTGTACGAAACATCGGACTCAATTCTTCAACAATTAACACTTGAAATTTAATTCTCCAAACGCTCAGCTACTTCTCAATGACACAAGGACCTCTTTCTGTCAACTTGCTAACGCCAAATGATTTCCTACGTATTCCAGAAACTGCCCACTTAAGATCCAAGGATATCTTTTCAACGACTTGTAAACTCCTTCCACAATTCTGCTAACTACCCTTCACAATGCCGGTATCCAAACACATGAACACACCCTCTATCGAGACGCGACCTTTCCTTTCGATGATCAAATGACAACTGCCACTTTCTCTCATACATCGACTATCAATTCTCCCAAAAAAAAAACTTTCCAGTCAAAAATCTTTATTTTGTTTACAATCATTAAGAAAAAACCCCATTACTGTTTCCAGAGAAACTAAAATTTTTGCTTTAAAACTGGTCTTTCCTTTGGTTACAAATACATAATTCATTCCTTTAACAAAATGTTAATTACAATATCCTAATCCTAGCTCATATACAAACAATAAAAATATTATAATAAGTATGGGCTTTCTAATTCTATATAAAAAGATTTTACCTGTGAGTGTTTAAAAATCAGTTGTTGACAGACAAAACTTTCTGTTATTCTAATTTTATCTTAATGTAGTACAGAAATTTTGTTTTCCAGGATGTCTTGAAAATTTATTTAAATGGTCTATTTATTAATTTTTATTTTTCCCTTTGGTCGGTCAGATAGCTCAGCGGGCTGTGCGGCTGCCTCTCATTCGCTTCACTGTCGAATGGTTCAGTGGATGTGGGATCGAGCCCCAGCTCGGTGTACAGAAAACAAAAAGTCTAACGCAGCAGCTTAAAATTCTAGATGAATCTGCGGCTTAGACTAGGATATGCTGGGATCTGATCGGCCTATGGTGGAGCAGTACGGCAAGAGATAAGGGCTTGCGTCTCGATGATACTCCTCCATAGATCCCTACCGGATGGGCGTAACGCCTAAAGAACCGGATATATATATTTTTCCCTTTGGCTGAGAGGAAAAAGTATGGCAATACATAAAATATCTAATACTTTGTAAATACTTATATAGACAAGAAGATCTGTTAATCGGAAATGTACTGTACGTACAGTACTAAAAAAACAAATGAGCATTAAATCTGGTATATTTTTTGTTAATTATTACTAATCGCAATCCATATCTAAATCGCCCTTATCCTCTGAATTATATTCTATATTTATTACCACAGTTTCAATATTTTTCTGCAAATTATCCACCGCAACAATTTTCCTTTTACTTTCATGACGTGCTTCATATAATTAAGCCACTGCTATTTAGATACGCATTTAGATGCACCATACACAAAAAGGGAGATATCTTTGAATGCTTTAACCATCGAGGAATTACGCTCCTAAATTCAGCTTATAAAATATTCTCTAATATGCCATCGTATGGCACCATATGCAGAGCGAATAATAGGACAATACCAGGCTGGTTTTAGAGGTGGCAAATCAAAAATTCATCAGATTTTATTCCTGAGACAAATTCTAGAGAAAACACTGGAATACGGTGTAGACAAGTACTACTTATTTATAGACTACAAGGCAGCCTACGCAGTAAATACAAGAGAATTATTTAAAGCATTGATATACCTAGAAGTACCAAATCAGTTGGTAAGTCTTACCAAACTAATCCTTGAAAAAGTTGAATGCAGAGTACGAATCCAGGGGGAACTCTCTAAACAAATAATGGGCTACGTCAGGAAGACCCACTCTCCTGTATACTATTCAATCTAGCTCTGGAAAAAGTAATACATACGTCACAAATCACAACTACCGGTTCAATATATAACAAATCTGTGCAAATCCTAGCATATGCTGATGATATCAATATTGTTCGGAGAACGAAAAACGCAGCACGAGAGGCGTACGTAGCACTAAAGGAAGCGGCTACAAAAATGGGTTTCATAATAAACACCAATAAAACGAAATATACGAAAATAGGTACGCAACGACAAATATTACGGCCTCTTGTTATAGAAAATGACGTTATCGAAGCAGTTAACGAATATGTATACCTGGGAACGCTCGTCAATACTGAAAATGACACTACCGCAGAGATAAACCGCAGAATTTGCACGGCTAAAAGATGCTATTTTGGGCTTAATCTCCTTTTTATATCTACATACATTTAAATTCTCAAACGATTCTTCATATAGATTACCATCCATTTCAGCGTGATAATCAGTGGTTCCCTTCTTGACTCATAAAGTTAATGTGACCAATGACAGAAAACCAGTTTCGCTTCCAGCATGAAGAAGAACAAACCGAGGACCTCTTTGGGTTGGAGCTTTTACTTCACTAGACATCCCTTTTACGAAGGCTTCTCGTGGATTCTTGATAGTTGTATCCCTTTTTGACTAAAGCATCCTCCTTAGTCCAAAACTCATCAGTATAAACAAGGTTTACATTATCCTTCTTGCTCGATATTTTTATTTGTTTGAGGTACTTGTGTCTCCAGGATATGATATCTTTTCTTTCCATCATTATCGAATCTCGACCTCCTTTACTTTGTCTCTGACCATTAGTCAGAGAAGAATTCGATGATCCAGAACAAGGTTCCTTGATAACATCGATGAAGACATGAGAAATATGGGAATCTGTGCTTGGCAGTGGAAGGCAATGGATAGGGACGACTGGAGAGAAATTCTTGAGGAGGTTAGGAATTACAAAGGGTTGTAAAGCCGGAATGATGATGGTGATAAACTTTATTAGAGACACAAAAGGTCCTTTTTGAATTTTTGTTGTTAGTATGTCTTCTTCTTCGCGTGCCATATCAGAATTATCCGACGTTGGCGATCACCATTGCGAAGGCTTTTCGATCTTCTGCAATATGGAATAATTGTCCTGCATTTGGTATTCATTGACGAATGTTTTTTAACCAAGAAACTTGTTTCCTTTCTACACCTCTACGGCCCTCTATTTTGCCTTTAATGATCAGTTGTAAAATTTTATATCGACTTCCTCTTACTATATGTCCCAGATAAGAAATTTTTCAATGTTTAACAGTCTTTAGCAGTTCTCTGTCTTTGTTGACGCTCCTTAGTACTTCTATCTTCAGCATTCGTCTATGAACCCACATTTCCAATGCTTCAATTTTGTTCATGATCGATATTTTTAGCGTCCACACTTTTGCACTATACAAAAGTACAGACCAAACATAGCACTTAACCATTCTTTGCCTTAGTTATAAACTGAGATGGTTATTGCAAAGAAATGACTTCATTTTCATAAAAGTAGTTTTAGTCATTGCTATTTTACGTTTTATTTTTGTCTGGATCTAGTTGGTCCGTTATCACAGTTCCCAAATATGTCATTTTGTAAACTTTCTCAACCTTTACTCCGTTCAATTGAAGCTTTGCATCGGGATGTGGGTCACGACTAAACACTAAAAATTTGGTTTTGTTTGAGTTTATTTTAATGCCCATTTCCTCTCCTACCTCGTGAATATGATCAAGCAGAATTTGAAGACCTTCAATATTATCTGATAGAATTACTGTATCGTCTGCATATCTAATCACATTAAGTAGTTCTCCGTTGATTTTAATTCCATATGGTTGTCTGTCTAGTGCCTTTTTAAGTAGCTGCTCCGAGTAAACATTAAACGATGTTGGCGTCAAAATGCAACCTTGTATGACTCCTCGTTGTATGGGGATTTCATCGGTGTAGTTATCTCCAATTTTTACGATAGCAGTTTGATTCCAGTACAAATTTTTAATTACACCAGTACAATGAATATCCTTGTCATCTATTCCGAAATTTTTCAGTATTTGCATGAATTTCACAT